GATGTTCTTTAAATACATATTTATCCATTTAGGGTCATTGTTGTCTGATCTGAGTTTTTTGTATGGTATGTTCTGCCTTTGTGCATTAAGTAACTCATTATTTAAATTGTCGTGGAACTCGGCAATCTCAGATCTCGTTATCAGGTCGGTGTCATCTGTCAGGTTCACATCCAAGCGCGACACCCCTTCTCGCAGCTGCCTCTATAAACTATCAATGTCTGCCCTTCTGAAATCTGGGACTTTAATGGGATTCCCTTTACGTCTGACCTGAAAATCTAACTGGAATCTAATTTCTTTGTGATCGCTGTTTGCAAGTTCGTTCCCTACCTCGACATTGCTAATGAGGTTTTCTCTGTTCGACAGAACTAAATCGAGTATATATTATTACCCCGGGTGGGTTCGGTTATATGTTGACTTAGGAAACAGTCCTGGATCGTTTTGAGGAAATTCTCTGATACTGAGTTACCCGTAAGGACATTCCAATCTATTTGGCCAAGGTTATGATTTATGATTTACAGAATAACACCAGATATTTCATTATCATCACAAACCAAGAAAACCTACAGAATTCTACATAAATTATGTAATCGTTGTTGTGAAAGAGAGAATAAAGCAAATATTTTGCCGTGATATGGTCCAGTGTGACCACCATTTTGTTTTGTTATTTTGAACACAACTATGTCAACAAATAAATTGACATCCACCCCGGTGCCCTATACACCGTACTTGCAGGCGTACAAGATGCATTTTTTTTTAAATGTACAGGTAGTTCTGCTATAACGCGATAATTGTGTTCTTGTAAAATATCGTGTTATAGAAAATCGCGTAATAGAAATAACAGGGCTTATGGAGAAAATAGGGTTAGGTGCAGATTACTCGAAATCGAAAACATTTAGTAGTTAGCCTAACACAAAGGATAGCACAGTCTAAATAAATGTTACATTCATATCTAATAATGAAATCATACAGTAAATGTAACACTTTACCTTGAAAAAATATGAATGTAACTTGATGGGGGAGAAGGGTGATTTTGAGGTTGATAAAATCGAGCTTCTCTTCAAGTGTTATATCCTTTCTTTTACGATCATCACCGGGAATTCTATCACCAGAACGCTTCTTGGAGATATTCTTCTTTACCATATTCACAGTTAATACCACAAAATTGGAGAAAGAGTAAGCAAAAAATCGCGTTATAGCAAACAAGCGTTCGCGTTATACAAATATCGTTCCTAATTCATAAATCGCGTTAGAGCAAATTCACGTTATCAAAACACGCGTTATAGCAGAACTCACTGTACTAAATTACCCTGCGTCTATCGCGCCCGTATTATGGATGGGAGGCCGAGCACGGAGGCGGAGGTGCCTAGCTAAGTACTGTACTTGATTCCAGTATATATTGCATTTACATGCACAAAATCACATGTTTTTCCCTACAAAACCACTTTAAAATAACTTTCAATAATTCTATGATGAAACTTACAAAAAATAAATAAAAATCCACAAAATATCCTTGTACAAAAGTCGTCTTATGCGGTGGTGCGTCTTATATGCCGGCAAATACGGTATGTAGAATATGTCTAGCTGGTTTGTTTAATTGTAATAAAGATGTCATCAAATGAAACAATAGCCCATGTTGGCTGGCTGACTAATGTGTGGTTCATTCTCTATTCTTATGTCATGCTTCCTCTCAGAGGGACTATTCCTGTATACAGCGATGGCTGTAAGTTGGATACAGGGGTGGGGTTTGGGGTAGTCTTTCCCAACTTCTGTTGTAACGTTAGTCTCCCCACTATGGCATCTATTTTTACAGGACAGCTTTCAGGTATTTTACTTGTCCTCAAAATTATTTTTCTCAACCTTATACAGGTTGTACCTTTCTAGTCCGGCATTCTGCGGTCCGGAAACTCCCGTGGTCAGGAACGATTTTAGTTTGTCCAATAGGTAGATAGGCAGCTTTTTTTTCTTTTCTTTTTTTATCTGAACTATTATTATTATTACAGGAGTATTAAATTTTCTCCCCCTCAGGCCCCAATGTGGGTCAGTGACCTATGCCCGGGTGGGCTAATCCCCTTAAAAAAAGAAAAAAGCCGCGGGAAATTAAGGTTTGTTTACATCCGGCAGTTCAGCTGCTCTCTCTCTCTCTCTCTGCTTGTCTATACAGAGTACAACATTTAACCCTTCAATATATATGAGCAGTAAATAAGTGTTGCTTTCATATTCTTATGTAGAGTAATGACGATATATTTTCACATGTGCGCACTTACATACGAGCAGTCTCACTTTTTTTTTACCATTAATGGTTAGCTACTTATATTGTTCCATTTATTAACATTAAATAACATAACAGGTACTTCAAACAACCATATTAATTTTTTTACATTAATTTTACTACAGCTACAATCAGGGTCTTATTTTCTTCGGTTTTATATGTAGAACCAATCAGTCACTGGTTTTGTAAGCATTAACGAAAACAATGCCGGCAGCCGTCTCGTCTCCTCATGTGTTTTAATATTCCACGTATTATTAACGAATTGTATTGTTCATTTTGCACACACAAACATTAATTCAATAAAAAAAAATCAGAAACATTAATTAAAATACATATGAACGGTAAATAAGTGTTGCTTTCATATTCTTATGTAGAGTAATGACGATATGTTTTCACATGTGCGCACTTACATATGCGATCTCTCTTTTTTTCTTTACCATTATCGTTAGCTACTTCTATTGTTCAATTTATTAACATTAAATAACATTACTTAAAACAACCATATTAATTTTACTACAGCTACAACCAGGGTCTTATTTTCTTCATTTTTATATGTAGAACCAGTCAGTCACTGGTTTCGTAAACAACGAAAACAAAGCCGTCTCATCTCCTCGTGTGTTTTAATATTCTATGTATTATTAATGAATTGTATTGCTCATTTTGCACACATAAACATTAATTCAATCAAAAAGACATTCAGTAATAAACAATAATGAATCCTTTGTACATAAGAGAAATGACGCTGTTTACACGATTGTGCACGTCTGAACGTTGGTGAGCCGTTCAAACCCGTCGAAATTCGAGTTTCCGCCGTAAAAATTTGTAATTGTTTTTTTGTGTGTTCCAATAAAATACGTTGAAATAAAAACTCGCGAAATTTGAGAAGCTACTATACGACATTTAACCCTTCAATATGTCTTCAAAGAGACCATTAAGCAGAGAAAGTGGTGCTAGTGCTTCCAAGCGTAAGCACAAGTCACTATCTATCCAGGAAAAGGATGAATTTCCATGGTCCGTTAATTTCCATGGTCCGGCACCGGTCAGGTCCTGAGGTTGCCGGACTAGAGGTACAACCTGTAGTGATTTTACAATTTTGAGTGATTCTCACAGTACTCTCCAGGCCTTAGCTAGTGTCTCATTGTCCCATCCCTTTGTTATAGATATATTACAGTGGCTGTTTCTCATCCAACACTGGGGCTAGAAAGTCAGTTTTTGCTGAGTTCCACAAGATACAGGAAAAGTTCACAGAACAGCGTCGTGACCTAACCAAGGCCTTCGACTCGGTCAACAGGGAAGCCCTCTGGTGGGCCCTCAGTTGTTTTGGCTGTCCACCAAAATTCATCGCCATTGTGAGGCAACTCCACGATGTCATGAACGGCAGTGTCCTGCACAATGGCACCCAGTTTGAATTCTTTCCCATCCAAACAGGGGTTAAACAAGGGTGTGTACTGGCACCAACTCTCGTTTCCATTTTCTTGGCTGCCTTCCTTTCTCATGCCTGTGCCATTTTAGCCGGCGGGGTGAATATCGAGTACCGGATGAAGGGTCTTTTCAACTTCAGACGACGCCAGGCAAGAACAAAGGTGCTGGCAGCTTCCGTTACTGAACTTCAGTATGCAGACGACTTCACACTGCTCACACTGAACACGACCTACAGGAGGTCCTAAACACCTACGCAGATGCGTATGCACACTTCGGCCTTGAGGTGAATGTACGTAAGACTCAGATTCTCTTTTAACCTGCCCCTGGTTCAGACAACACCTCCACCATCCGTCCAGCATAACAGTACTACCCTCTCTAATGTTACCCACTTACAATATCTCGGTTCCCACCTGTCCACCACCGCAGACATTTATGAAGAGATTCAATATCAGATTAGATGTGCATCTCAAGCCATTGGCAGACTCTGTACAAGTGTCTTCAGCTGTAGGGAGCTGAAATTATCTACAAAGTTGCTCGTATATCGAGCAGTGGTCCTGCCCACTCTGCTATATGGCAGTGAGGCACCTCAAGGCACTTGAAAACTTTTACCATTGTAGTCTACGTTCCATCCTCCGAGTTCGCTGGGAAGATAAGAGAACAAATGCCAGCATTCTTGCCGACACCAACTGTAGGAGCATCGAGGCTACCAAAATCCATGAACAACTACGCTGGACTGGCCATGTTACCCGCATGGACGACAGTAGACTGCCTAAGCAGCTACTTTACAGTCACCTAACGAACAGTAAACGTAACGCTGGCAGGCAAGTGAAAAGGTATAAGGATAGTCTTAAGACAAACCTGAAAAAGTGCCAAATCGACCCCCTCACCTGAGAGACGATTACTCCACACCATAACGCTTGGTATCAATACTTTCGAGTAAGCCCTACTGCATAATGAGGCAGACAAGCGCCAATGCTGGAAAGACGCTGCTGTCGCCCCTCCCACACTAGATGTAGCCCCCTCCACATGAATGACGCTGCAGGTCCCGTATCGGCCTCTTTAGTCACCTCAAACTCACCAACCTAGGTAACATTCTTAATAACTCATATCATTTATCATACCTGGATGATCGTCATACTCGATTCCGAGTGACAGCAAAGTGGTGTGTGTGTGTGGTTAGGTTAGGTTAACATTTAGATGGTTACTCTACAGTTGACCCCATTTATGTTCTCATTGTTTCAAATATATTTAGTGAGTTTATAGAGAAGAAGAATCAATTTACTGTTGTTGCATCAGAGACATATAGTACCTTCTCTTCTGCCCCCGTCTCCAGGGTGGGTGGATCATTCTGTAGGGTCAACATCAGGACCTTCATTGGAGGGTATTTGTGGTATGGAGCAGTTCCTGTCACCATCTCTATCGCTGTGATGCCGAATGACCAGATGTCTGCCTTAAAATCATAACCTGACACCTGTAAGGAAGAAATGCCTGCTTTAATTCATAACCTGACACCTGTAAGGAAGAAATGCCTGCTATAATTCATAACCTGACACCTGTAAGGAAGAGATGCCTGCTTTAATTCATAACCTGACACCTGTAAGGAAGAGATGCCTGCTTTAATTCATAACCTGACACCTGTGAGATTCTTTAATTCTTCTTACCTGTGAAGAGATGCCGTTTTAATTTCTAACCTATAACCTGATAACAAGGAGGAAATGTACTGTTTAATTACTTGACCTGTAAGAAAGAAATGCTATAACTTTTAACCATAACACTCCACCTGTAAGAGAAGAAATTTTATTTTCTTAAGGAAAAATAACTGTATTCATAACCTGACAAATGTAAGGAAGAAATGCTATAACTTTGATTTAATACCTCTATTTAATTGTCACTAACCTGCTTCAGTAATACTGAAGAACCAAAATCTTATTAAAATTATTACAGAAAATTATTATTTGATATCTGAAAAGGTTATAATATTGAGTATCTATAGTAAGGTCACAGTTATCATATAAGGTCAGTATGGTAGGTCACAGTTGTGTAAGGATTCATAGTAATCAAGAATCAATCCAATGCTCACATTATTATCATTAAGGAACTGACATCATAGGTCACAGTTGTCATAGTAGTCACAGGTAATGCATTGTCAAATTAAATAGTAAGAGTCTGAGTTTCATGTATTGTAAGTTACAGATTACATAAACAATGTGTCTCCATCATAGTAAGGTCACAGTTATCATATTAAGTCAGATATCATAAAGGTCACAGGTATCATAGCAATGTCACTGATTATCATAATGAGTCACAGTTATCATATGGCTCGTGTCATAGTAATAATTATCGTAAAGGTCACAGTTATAACATTAGTTGCAATTCTTTAGTAATGTCACAGTTATCATATTCAGATTATCATAAAGGTCACAGTTATCATAGTAGGTCACAGGTATCATAGCAATGTCACAGATTATCATAAATGAAGGTCTTATAGTAAGAGTTGCAATTGTATGTTGTCTCACCAGTCTCATAGTGGGTCACAGTTACCTAGTAATGTCACAGTTATCATAAATAAGTCACAGTTATCATAAATAAGGTCACAGTTATAATGAAGTCACAGTTAAGTAGTCACAGAAATTGACATAGTAAGTCCACGGTTACATAGTAATGTCACAGTTATCATAGTAGGTCTGATTATCATAGTAAGGTCACAGTTTTTCATAGTAAGGTCACAGTTATCATAGTAATGTCACAGTTGTATCAGAACCTAACCCATTTTCTAATCAGTTCTGCTATATAGTTGTGTTCTTGTAAAACATTATGTACAAAGAAATTACCGTAATAGAAATAACAGGGCTTTATGGAGAAAATGGGTTGAGTGCAATTACTCAAAATCGAAAAAAATTTGTGATTAGCCTAACAAAAGAGATAGCACCCAAACCAAATAAATGTTACATTCATATCTAATAATGAAATCATACAGTAAATGTAACACTCCATGAAAAATATGAATATAACTTGATGGGAAGATGATTTTGAGGTTGATAACATAGAACTAACTTCATAGCTTTTTTACGATCATCACGAATGTGATCACCAGAGCTTGGAGAGATATTCTTCTTTTCCATATTCACAGATTAATACCACAAATTGGAGGTAATGGCAAAAAATAAACTTACAACAAACAGGTTCCGTTTACAAATAGTTCCACTTCTTCATAAATAGGTATTAGAGACCAATTAAAGTTGTCAAAACAGAGTTGTAACTCTTAACAGTATATACATAATTTAAATTGAACAGTGATCCCTCAGTTAACGAACGCCTCGGTTAACGAATTACCTTCCATAAGATTCTTCACTTCGGTTAACGAAAAAATTTTGGTTAACGAATTCCTTACGAATTTCCCGAACATGTTTTCGCCTGTTCACCAGCTGTAGTATTAGTCCGCCAATACAGTAATCGGTTTTAGGGCTTAAATTCTTTACCATTTGAGTAAATACCAAGAAGGTTGTACTATTCAATAATTTTCCAAGTCTTATAATAAAGTTTTTAGTCATTTTAACAATTATTTAACATAATTGAAGTACAGGGAACTAGTTTTTAGCGTGCCAAACAGCCACTTGACTAACCCGAAATGGCGTCAGTGTGTGTCCCTGCTCAGTGGAGGAAGCATCTTGCTTGAGATTCTCTTGAACATAAACTATTTTTACGTTTTTACAGTACAATTATTGGTCATTCTTAAGTTTATTTTACATATTGACAATATATAATGCAGTGCAGTGTTGATTTAAAGAAAATAATCTTGAATAACACCAAGTGAACTAAAATTTTATGGTGAAATGGCGACATGAAGCATGGGGTGACTTCTCTTCCACCCCAATGCCTTCTCTTCTCCCTTCTCCTCCACCCCCATTCCAATTCCCATCATCATCATCATCAACCAGGAGCTTTCTACATGCACACCTCAAAGTAAGTGTACTTTACTGCATTTATTTTTAGTTTGTATGTAATTTTCGGTGAGCTGGAACCAATTACCCAAAATCCCATTGAAACAATGGTTTCGGTTAACACAATTTTCGGTTAACGAACGACCTTCTGGAACTGGAACGAATTGTATTCGTTAACCGAGGGACCACTGTATAGTTAACATCCATCGACCCTATCTCGCGATATATCCTGACCCTTCTGTACTGCATAACTAAAATCTAACGATCGTAAAAATTAGGTTAGCACATCGCTTACCAAAACCATATCTCTTACTGCTTACATCTCTTACCCTTTACTGTACATTATCCCTGTCCTATTCTTTTCTATTCAGTCTTGGTGGAGGATAAGTTTGTACATAGCAGTGCTTATGTTAGATTAAGCAGCACTGTATGGTTATGACTGCCATTGTTCCGTCTATCCAATGATAACTGGAGCCTAAAGAAGCCAACTAACATAAATAAGGTGAGTAACCAATCACAACTGGAGTACAGTTCAATACTTAAAACTCTTGGGGTTTTCATATGAAAATTTGCATATGATCTAAATTATCACTTTACGGTGTTCATACGCAAATTTGCATATAAACTAAAAAATTACAATAAAATAATTTAAGCTTGCGTATGAACACTAAATATACAAGACACACATTTGGCAACGCAGGTGTGATCTGGCACCTATGTAGACTACCTCCAAGGTTACACCAGTCACCTTTGGTGGTTCAACGGCACAGGACATAACTTTGACCAACATTTCCCACCATTATGGACACCCTGTACTGTGTTATAGAGGCATTATACACTGTGTTATAGAGGCATTATACACTGTGTTATAGAGGCATTATACACTATTATAGAGGCATTATACACTGTTATAGAGGCATTATACACTGTTATAGAGGCAGCATCACTCACCTGCTCCATAACTTCTGGTGCCATCCAACATGGTGTGCCAACAAAAGTGTGTCGGGACTTCTGACGGGAAAGATCACCTCCAGTAGAAAGCCAGGCACTTACACCAAAGTCAGCGATCTGGACCACACCGTCCTCACCTAGCAGTATGTTGCCAGCCTTGATGTCTCTGAAACATGACCAAATATTTAAATCTTATCCACTGTACTCAAACTAGAGTACAGCATATAGCAATCCTAAGTACTGCCAACACATCCTAAGTACTGCCAACACATCCTAAGTACAGCCAACACATCCTCAGTACTGACAACATATCCTGAGTACTGACAACATATCCTAAGTACTGCCAACACATCTTATGTGCTACCAACACATCCTAAGTACTGCCAACACATTTGAAGTACTGCCAACACATCCTAAGTACTGCCAACACATCCTAAGTACTGCCAACACATCCTGAGTACTGACAACATATCCTAGTGCACAGCAATCCTAAAATGCAACATCACACAATCATAATTACAACACATATCATAAGTGCCCCAACACACCTCTTATATGCGCCACCACGCATCTAAGTACTGCCAACATCATAAGCAGCACATCCCCTAATTACTGACAGCACATCCTGAGTCTCCAACACATCACAGTACTGAACAACACATCCTGAGTACCAACATATCCTACAGCACATCCTAGTACAGGTGTCCCCTACGACTTATTTCACTTATGTCAACGCCAGTGCCCCGACCTGCTCTGACCTTCGACCAGGACATCACTTTCATCATACGTGACCAAAAACTTCATGGCGCGCATTTCTATACCGAAAACGTTTCCGTCGAACAGGCGATAAGCCTTGAATGCATCGCCATGTGGTACACTCATAGTGTTTGGCTATAACATCCTATACTGATCACTGTGAACTTTTAATCTCGTGTTAATTGACTTTATAATAACTGGAAAAGCAAGAACAAGTGCTGGTGGTGCTCAAGAAAAGAAAGAGCAATACTTCTCAGATGAAAATGAAAATACCAATACAGCAGAATGAAAACTAGCAACAATCTCACCCGACCTAAGTTTCTCATACACAAATATAACTCTACTATTCTGAAGGACAAGGAAGCGTGTTAAGTGAAGTAGTAAAAGAAAACTTGCCTATAAAGAACCATATAATATCAAAAGAGAAGACAAGGTCCTCTTCCACGATATGGAAAAATTATTAGTGATATGGATGAAGACCAGATACAAGCGTGTGGCCTTAAGCCTTCTAACCATACAGGCTAAAACAAAGCCTGTTCCCAAAAGCACAGAAAAAGAGCAGGCAGGAGATGAATGTGATCAAACCTTTAGGAAGTCATGGGTGGTTTGATAGATTTAAATGCTACCAGTCTACACAATGTTAAGGTGAGTGGAAAAGGCAGTGCCGATGTTGAATTGCTGCCAAAGCTTTTAAGGAGGTTAGATATGATGATTGTGGAAGGGAATATTTGCCTGAGCAAATATTCAATGTGGATGAGACTGGATTATTGTGGGCGCATGCTGAAAGCGGACATACATCCACAAAATGAAAAACAATGCAGGATTCAAGGCATTCCAGGACAAATTACACATACATTGCGGGAAGATATTTGGTTTCCAAACTAAAGCCTTTCATAATCCATCATTCCAGAAACACAGGGCTTTTAAACATATCCTCAAGCACACACTGCCAGTGTTTTCTACACAGTAATAAGCTGGATGACCTTAAACACTGTTTGAGGATTAGTTCGACTTGTTTCATTCACGAGCACAAGAAGTATTGTCTGCCATACGGATTCCATTCAAAATTTTCTGATTTTGGAAATGCTCGGAACACACCACCTGGACAGCATGCACCTGATGTTTAAGTAGTGTACATTCCCCTAACACTACCTCCTGTCATCCAACCCATGGATCAAGGTGGTATTGCGCCTTTAATCATTGTTCAAATCGACCCGCATCAAACATTTTACTCTGGTAGAAGCACTCAGAGTTTTGGAAGAAATTACAACGTTTTGCTCATATATAAAGAACATTGAACAGCATGGGATCAGGTTAAACAATTGCATGAATGGAATACTGGAAGAAAAATCCTGAAAAAGATATGTAAACAGTTCCAAAGTTTAATGAAAATAAAATATTTTGGATATTAGTAACAAGATAGTGGGTTAGGTAACGCTGGGTTAGATTGATAATGAAGATGTTGGACAGTTGGATTGAAGAAATCCAGAAAGAACTCATGTGAGGATCTTATTGAACTAATGCTGAAAATTGCAAGGAAGAAGAGACAAAATGAAGAACCTGCCACAAAAATTTTCAGTAGAAACAAATGGCAGAGACATTTGCTACAATATAAAAGAATGCAAATGTTTGATGTGGATCCAAAATTACCAGCATTATACTGAAATAGACAGAATGATCCCAAAAGATATACGACACTGCATTTATAATGAAAAGAAAAAAAAGCAAACTATTACAGTCTAAATTGGACATCAACTCTTAAGAAGATCCCCCCAGTGCTGTCTCCTCCGCTAGTGCCTCTTCACTCTCAAGATGATCATACCTTCAACCAGCAGTTTCTGATACATAAACCTATCTGGCGACATTAATGACCCACCTTTCTCCTCCTCAACCAGCTATCATTAATATAAGTCTCCATGTATCCTGTAATGAAAATTATGGGGGCCTGTGCATTCAACTGACTACATTAAGGTAAGTGTCAGTCACTGTATCCATTCATATTATTATTACTTTACTGTACTGTATCCATTCCCCATTAGTTATTACTTTAACAACTTTACTGTACAGTGGGGTATGCTTCCAGCACAGATCCCTACGAATATTCCTATAACGAGCGGTTTTTACCTAAAATTGAAGAATGCTATAACGAACAACTCCTACAACGAACATTATTTAATTTTTTTTTTTTGCTAATTATTGTTTTTTCTTCTTACAAGTATTAATATTCTTTATTTCATGAGGTTAGATGCATCTCTATACTTTTACAATTTATAATTATATTTTTCCAGTGTTAATTAGTTTGTATTTGGGGCAGTTAATCACTATAACGATACTATATAAGAACAAGGTTCTACGAACCAATTAGATTACGTTACTACTTTATACCCCCACCTAATACTGTATTTCGTGGAATTTTTTTTTTAATTCTTTTTGTCTATTTGGACTTCGACCAATCGGACTTGACCAATCGGTTTCCCAAATAATCGGACTTCATTGTCGGACTACGACCTGGTTTGATTCCCTAACCCCGCTAAATAAGTCAGGGCACTACTCTTCTGCCAACAAATCCTAAATGACAACATCATAGTGCTGTACATCTTTATCTGGAAGTACTGTCTAACACAATATAGTACTGTCAACACAGCCTTAGTACTGCCAACACAGCACATTAGTACTATCAACACAGCCTTAGTACTGTCCTTTAGCCTTAGTATACCAACACAGCATTAGTACTGTCAACACAGCATTAGTACTGTATGCTGCTTAGTACTGTTGTTTCTGGCCCTTATCAATTAGTATTATATAAATATGGGCAAGGACATATATTCATTATATACATTCTCTTGGGACTATGCAGCTTAACATGGCATTTTGTTCTGTACACTCTGGGTGGACTGACATTTGTGGTTTCTGAACTCAGGATTTACAACCCACAAATATGTCCCCAAGACCTCCGTGGCGAGAGTAGACGCAGCAGTGTAGTGTTGCCAGCGTGATGAAGTGCTTCCCCTAGCCCGAAGACAGAGGTAGCTGGTTCTGATTTCAACAGTTCACTAGTTCACAGCCAGACACACGTACCAAAGAAGGGCGTGTTGTGAGAACTCCGCTCCCAGGCTGAATATCTCTCTAATTATATCCAGCTAATTTACAAGCTATTAACAATGTCTAAAATAGTCTGTCCCTTCAAACAATTCTGTAACTACCCTAGACATCAATATAACTGAAAATCTGCATGTTATTTCCATTAAACGAAACCCTGCAAATGAAAGATAACTGAACATAATAACCTGGCAGCATGGCAACCTGCGCTAGATAATCACAAAGTGCCGACCCCAGAGACTGACTGGGACAGTTCAACTATCAAACTCGACTGTATCAAATTTGACCATGGTAAATTGGCAATATCTCTCTTTAACTTCATCAGTATGGCATTCACTCATTCGGGCAGTGTTAACCATTGAGATCATCTGATATCAAACCCCAGCACAAACACTGTCAACACAGTCTTAGTGCTGTCGACAGCCTTGGTACTGTCAGCACGGCTTGATACAATAACACAATAGTACTGCCTTTGGCTAATAGTACTTTAACAACACAGCCTTAATGCTGTCAACACTACTATGTGATTTGTGCTTTAATATAGTACTGCCAACTTTAGCCTTTGTGCTGTAACTGGCCTTAATGCCTGTCCTTTGGCCTCTGTACTGTCAACACAGCCTTAGTACTGTCCAACACAGCCTTTGTACCAACACAACCTTAGTACTGTAACCACAGCCTTTGCACTGTCAAAACAACCTTTATTACTATCGACACAACCTTAGTACTGTCACACAGCCTTTTTACTGCAACACAGCCTTAGTACTATCCTTGTCCTTTGTGCCAACACAGCCATGTCTGTAACACAACCTTTGTACTGTAAGCAAGCCTGTACTCTAAACACAGCCTTATTACTGTCAACACTAGTATTACTGCAACATCTCTTTTTTATGGAATTGCCCACAGGCAGGTCAACAACCTGGCAGGACCTGGGCGAAAAAAAGAACAAAAAGGTAAAATAGAAAAAAAATATAACTATGTTAATCTACACCACAAAGATGCGGAAAACCAACTTTAAAGTGAGACAGATTGTATATGTATACGAAACTGAAAGAAGGCAAGAACATTCCACAGTTTGGTTGTATACGAGAAGAAGGGAATACTATAGCGGGTTATTCTAGATGTATCCACAGCGGTGTAAATTTTAACGAACAAGGCGTGTGCTACAAGCCCATGACCCCAATAAAACAGTCACTAAGATGCCAAATCACGAACATTGCCCGTTAAAAGAAAAATTATCAACTCAAAAGAGAGTTAATACAGACAGAATGCCTCACGATTCTACCCTATACATTTGGAGAACAGAAGAAAGTC